TTTTTTTATGATTGTCTACTGTTGTACTGATAAATATCTCCTGGAGGGTAAACTATGTCTTGGCTGCAAGTATCAAGCTGAGAAATCCTTTGTTTTCTTCAGCTGATATCGGTTGGTCATTAATTATGATGAAGTTTAGCAACTTCTCGGTAAACATTTAAGCTCCGGGGCTTCAGCGATGTCTTCTTCTTGTTCAATCCACAGCAAGCGGTCTGATCTCGGTCAGCTGCGCTCAGTCTGTCCCTCTTCCGACACGGACAGACTGAGCACGACTGACCGAAATCAGACTGCCTTCTCCGGACTGAATGAAAATAAAAGACAGCTGAAGCCCCGGAACTCGAATGTCCAACGTAAAACTAACTTTACCACGGTTTAATGTGGTTCTATGGCTCTGCAGACATTGCACGTTGCTGTCTTGTTTTGTGGCGTTTAGTGTAAAATACTTCCACACAGCGGACATGTTTAGATGAAAAGTTTGTTAGCTGTTAGCCACAGTGCTGCTAACTCAGTCCTCACGTTGTAGCTGGCTGCAAACTATGATATGGATTTCCTGAATGTGAGGCGGGTCTTATTACTCTGGGCTCATGAGACGCGCCTCCGTTCAAGAAATCCATTCCATAGTTTGAAGCCAACGTGCAGCGCAACCACAGACATGCATCACGGATCGGAAAATCCGATAAGTATATTATGCTGGTATCGGAGCCCGATACCGATACTGGATCGGATCGGCCCCATCCCTAATATATACACACACATTTGTGGAATCATTGTCACCAGTTAGGTAGTAACACTTGTGAATCAGTTTCAAATGCTGCTGTGAAATGGAACCCACAACAGGTGGAATGAGAGGCAATTAGCAAGACAACCCTTGTAAAGGAGTGATTACACAGGTCTTGACCACATGTCATTTCTCTGTTTTTGTCCTTTCTGGTTGAAATTTTTGTCACTTTTTTCCTTTTGTCAGTGCTGTCACACTTAGAGTCATCGTGAGTCATTTTTTACAGTACACTGAAGTTGCTAAAGTAGTGCAAATAAACCAAGATGGAATATCAATGAGAGCGGTGGCAAGAATATTTGCTGTGTCTCTCAGCACAGTGTCCAGAGCATGGAATAGGTACCAGGAGACAGGCCAGTACACCAGGAGACATGGAAAGGGCTGTAGGAGGGCTACAACCCAGCAGCAGGACCGCTACCTCATCTTTTGTGCAAGGAGGAACAGGAGGTCCACTGCCAGGGCCCTACAAAAGGTCCTCTAGCAGGCCACTAATGTGCATGTTTCCACTCAAACTGTCAGAAACAGACTTCATGAGCATTGTTTGAGGGCCCGATGTCCACATTTAGGGCCTGTACTTACAGCCCAACACCATGCAGGATGACTGGCGTTTGCTAGGGAACACCAAAATTGGCAGATTCGCCATTGGCGCCCTGTGCTCTTCACGGATGAAAGCAGGTTCACACAGAGCACATGTGACAGACATGACACAGTCTGCAGACACCGTGGAGAACGTTATGCTGCCTGCAACATCCTCCAGAATGACTGGTTTGGTGGAGGGTCAGTCATGGTATGGGGAGGCATTTCTTTGTATGGCCACACAGCCCTCCATGTGCTAGCCAGAAGTGCCCTGACTGCCACAAGGTACCAGGATGAGATCCTCAGACCCATTGTGAGACCATATGCTGGTGCAGTTGGCCCTGGGTTCCTTCTTATGCATGACAATGCTATGCCTCATGTGGCTGAAGTGTGTGAGCAGTTCCTGCATGATGAGGGCATTGATGTTATGGACTGGCCTGCATGTTCCCCAGACCTGAATCCAATTGAGCACATCTGGGACACATGTTTTGGTCAATCCACCAAGGCCACATCACACCACAGACTGTTCAGGAGCTAACTGATGCCCTCATCCAGGTCTGGGAAGAGATCCCTCAGGAGAACATCCACCATGTTATCAGGATCCAGATCTCCATGGTGTAATAATTTTTATTCACATTGACACTTTTTGTGATATTTTCTTCGCAATCAATTCCACTGTGCTAATAATAGTTTGTCAATGACAATATTTAATTAATTGAGGTCTATGATGTGTTATTTTCGTGTTCCCTTTAA